CCCCATCGATGACTTCATCCTCACCACTTATGGGAATGTGTCTCCCACTCAGCCGCCGATCGCGCGCGCGAGTGTCTCTTCCTTCGGTTTGTCCCCTGCCGATCGCGTGGACGGGCCATTCCGCCTCGACATCAAGTGGATTCGGGCCCGGCGGTGGACACCGGCCGAGCGGGACGCCTACACCAAGCGCCTGGAGATGGATATGCGCGCCGGGATGCATGGGTACCGGTTCCCCTCCCGCGGGTCCGGTCCCTCGCCCCGGGGGAACTGGGGCGGATGGTCCTTTGTGCCGGGCCAGCCTGATCCGATTTTCGCTCGGGCCGACCAGTCGCCAACTCCGGCACCGGCTGTCCGGGCGCAGGAGAGCGCCGCCGATCGAGCCGCCGCCGCCACGCATGCGGCGTCCGTCGCCGCCGGCCTGGCCTCTGACTCCGAGGATGAGCCCATGCGGCGATCCGCCCAGCCGGAGGACGCCGGCGCCGGCGCCGCCAGCACCATCAATCCAGCGTCATCCGTCGAGCCGGACCCCTCCCAGTCCAACAACACCCGGTCCTTCTCGCGCCTGGTGCAAGAGGCACAAGCGCGGAATATGGACCTCGACGAGATGGGCGCCGTGGGGTTCAATGAACGCAGCAGCGAGGAATTCCTCCAGCGCCAGCATGCTCGCTGGTTGGAGTTCCTCGAGCACCAGGAGCTGTATGTGCCGTCGCCGCATGATTTGCGCGAGTACGACGCCGGTCGAGGGGACATCCTGGACCCGGACAACCAGTATGAGCTCGGCCCGGAGGTTGAGGGCCGCCAAGCCCGGCGCACGGACCACCTGGCGTCCGAGGAGCAGTGGGACGGGACCGTCGGGTCGGCGCACGTCGATTCATATGCCCAAACGATGGAGGGATTCTCGCCGGCGGCCTTCGCCGAGCGGTACGCCACAGCAACCGGCCCCGATCCCAAGGGCGCCGCAGGCTCCCAGGCCGGGCAAGCCCATGGCTCCGGCACACATGACCCCGCCAGCGGGCCCAGCAGCGGCGGCAGCGGCAGCAGCGACGGCCCCCGCGCCGCCACTGCCCATGGCCAGGGCAGCCCCTTGGAGGCATTCAATCGACCGGATTTCGTGCACTTCGATGATGACTACACCTCTCGGGGGTTCTCCTCGGATGCCCCGGGGTTCGACCAGGCCAGCGTTCGGCCGGAGGACATCCTCTCCTCGCAGCACCCGCACTTTGACACGCTCCCCCTGCGCCGGCAGTATGAGATCCTCCTGCGGGAGAGCCGTCGGGCCGAGGTGAATTACGACTATTCGCACCGGCACTGGCGGGACTCGCTGAGCTCCTTCGACTGGATCACGCACCAGGCGCCGGGCGGCGCCAATGACCCGGCCGCCAAGGCTGATGGCGCCGGCGAGGCGGTCGAGCGGTCGTATCGGCCGCGGCCCAAGGCCCGCTTCGCCTCCGGGCCCGTGAACATGGACGACCTGGACCTGACGGAGCGTGTCCGGCATCTGAAGCGCAAGTCCATCCTGCACCAGGTGGACCAGCAGAGCATGGACATTCGCAATGACGTGGCGGACATTCGCAAGGCCGAAATGACCGCCCGACTGGCGAACTCGCGCAAGCGCAGCCCGCTGCCCTTCCTGGTGAACGATTGGTACCGGAAGATCTTTGGCAAGTTCCTGATCCCGGACTCGGAGCTCCTGTATGAGCAGGACGCCGCCGAGGAGGCGGCACGCAAGCAGAAGAAGCAGGCTGAGAAGCCGACCAGCAAGCCGTGGCCGTGAGATGTTGCCGGGTCCCTGCCGTCTGTGTCTCCTCCCGGGCCCCCCCTCTGGCGCTTCGCCCGTCCGAGGTGCCCCCTTTTCTGCCCGAAAGGGAGGTGCCACCGTCCCGGAAGGGGCTGAAAGATGGCACCTCCCGTAGAATAGACCCATGTGCATACGTATGCCATCCACGCGGCCACCCGCCGCCACGCTGTCACACAGCCGCATTCCCCGCACGAATGCGTGCATTTTGTATGGACACTTCATTGATGTGAGATGTGAGATGTGTGTGTGTGTGTGGGGGGGGGGGGGCACACATGGAAGCAAGATATATAGGGGTGTATTTGAAGGACTGGCCTGCCGGCCAGCGGAGGATCTAGGTGGGGCCGAGCAAAGGAGCAGGCCAGCGCCTCTACTCGAAGGAAGTGAAACCGTCCATCCCCTCGGGGTATTGGCTCAGGAGGGGAGCGGTCTCGCCGGTCTCATGGGAGGCCGGGGCCGGGGCCGAGTCCGGCCACAGCTGCATGGCCACATCCCGGCGGAGATTCTTCAGTTGCTTCTTCAGCTCATCATCGCGATTGACGTAGTAAATCAGCACGTAGGTGGCAATGCCGATCACCACCAGCAGCACCACCAGCAGCATGATGCCGATGAAAGCCGCGCAGCTGACAATCCCCACGCGACAGTCTGGGCGATGCACGCGCCGGTTACGGGGTCGGGTCAGTTGCGGGAGTCCAACAAAAAGCCGG